TGAATGGTCGTGGGCAACTAAACAACTCTGGAGGAGGAAAATCTACAAATATCTCCATCGTCGATGACAGAAGAGCCCAGTACATCAGTGCAAAAAGATAAGGCTGAAGCACTCGCAGCAACCTTTAGCCAGAAGTGCTAAGTGGATGATCTATCGTGGCTTCCTCCAGTGGTCCCCAGCATCAGATGCCAATCTTTAGCCAGTTTGATTTACTCCACGTGATATCAAGAAACGGTTGGAGACACTGAACGCTGCAAAGGCTATGGCCCTGACAATATACCAGCATTAGTATTGAAGACTTGTGCTCCAGAACTTTCTACTCCCCTAGGAAAAATGTCAGTACGTTGGTGTGAGTGCAGAAGCGAGTTGCAAGAATGCTTCCAGAAATGAGAAACTTCAGCTATGAGGATAGATTGGAGAAATTAGGACTGTTCTACACAGAAAGAAGGCAGCTGAGAGGGAGTTTGAGGTGATGCATTTTGGAAGAAGTAACCAGGTAAAGGCGTACTCGGTGATTAGCAGGACACCAGGAAGTGGAGATAAACAAAGGAATCTTGTTTTGCTTCTGCGCTGATCCCTGAAGATGGCAGGGCAGGTTAGAAAATAGGAGCAGGAGTAGGCCATCTGACCCATCGAGCCTGCTCCACCATTCACTGAGATCATAGAAAATAGGTGCAGATGTGGGCCATTTGGTCCTTTGAGCCTACACCGCTATTCAGTATGATGGCTGCTCATGCAATCTCTGTATCCTATTCCCATTTTCTCTTCATACCCCTTGATCCCTTTTAGCTGCAAGAGCCACATCCAGCTCCCTCTTGAATATATCTAATGAACTGGCCCTAACAGCTTCCTGTAGGAGACAATTCCACAGGCTTACAACTGAGTGAAGAAATCCTTCTTCATCTTAGTCCTGAATGGTTTACCCCTTGTTCTGGACTTCCCCAACATCAGGAACATTCTTCCTGAATCTAGCCTGTCTAGTCCCATCAGGATTTTGTGTTTCTGAGAGATTCCTCTCATTCTTCTAATTTGCGGTGAGTACAAGCCCAGTCAATCCAGTTATTTCTCGTATGTCAGTCATGCCATACCTGGAATCAGTATGGTGAACCTTTGCTGGACTCCCTCAATAGCAAGAATGTCCTTCCTCAGACGAGGAGACCAAAATTGCACACAACGTTCAAGGTATGGCCTCACCAAGGCCCTGTATAAAAAATTCTCACATCACCTTTGCTTCACTTAAGGTTCTTGCGAAGATTTGTAGCTTGGGTTATGGGTGACCAAGTCAACAACATCACGTGGCAAGACAACCCTACTTGGCCAATCTGTCCAAGTCACCCTGCTGATCTTTTTGTGGATTCCGCTCCAGTTACCCGTCTGGTAGCCTCAACTGTTTCACTGGGCTGGGATTTCCATAGATTCACAACCCTTTGGGTAAAGAAGTTTCTCTTCAGCTCAGTCCTAAATCTGCTCCCCCTTATTCTGAGGCTATGATACCTAGTTCTAGATTCATCCACCAGTGGAAACTTCTATCTTATCTATTTACTTAATAATTTTATAATTCTATACGATCCCGTCTGTTCTACTAAATTCTGATGAGTATAGTCCCAATTTACTCATTCTGTCCTCATAAGTCAGTAGCTTAGTTCAGAAGGTGCATGCGATACTTGCCTTTACCAGTTGAAATGTTGATTGTAGGGGCAAGAAGGATATGTTGGAGTTGTACAGGGCTTTAGGCTACAGCTGGAGTATGTAGATTTGCCTTATAAGAAGGATGTGATTGCACTGGAGGCATACAGAGGAAATTCATCACGTTGCCTGGGATGCAGCACTTCAACAACGTAGAGAACCTGAATAAGCTCAGGTTGTTTTCTGTGCAGCAGAGAAGGTTGAGGTGGGAGGTGATATTCTGATAGAGGTGTATAAGATTGAAAAGCATGATCAGGGTGGGTAGAAAGCAGTTGTTGAAAAGGCAATAATATTCTTTCATCCTCCACCTCACCACCCCTCCTTCCCACATCCTAAAAATGAGATGAGGAATTTCCTCAATCAGAGGATGGTGAATCCGTGGACTGCATTGCTACAGAAGGTCATGGAGGCTATCGTTGAGTATATGTAAGACAGAGTCAGATAGCTTCTTGATAAGTAAGGGCATCATAGGGAGGGGGCAGGCAGGAGAATGGTGTTGAAAAGCATATCAGCCATGATTGAATGACACAGTCGGTCAATGGGCCAAATGACCTAATTCTGCTGCTGTATTTTATGGTTTTGTGGTCTTATAACAAGGGGACATGCATCTAAGGTGAAAGGGAGGAGGTTTAAAGGGAAATGGAAGAAAAGTTTTTTTTTCTCCTTGGGGTAGTGGGGTTCTGAACTGCACTGAGTAGGAGGGTATTGAGGTGGGTAACCTTATAAAAGCATTTGGGTGAGCACTTGAAATGTCACAACATTTAAGACTTTCGGCCAAGTGCTGGAAAGTTCGACTGGTGTAGAATTAGTATATTTTTGTCTGGACAGACTCGATGGGCCAAAAGGCCTCTTCTGGATTGTATCATTTTAGTTTTTCAAAACAATGAAATCATATGAGCAGGCTGGGTAGAGTAGTTGGGGAGAAGCTGTTCTAGCTCATAATGGAGCAAGAACAAAAGGGCAAAGATTTAAAGTGATGTGCACAAGAAGCAAAGGTGACATGAGAATTTTTTTCATTCATCTAGTAGTTAGAATGAAATGCTCTGTCTGAAAATGTAGTGGAGACCTGTTCAGTTGAGGCATTCAAAAGGGCATTGGATGATTATTTGGCTATAAATAGTGCGGAAAGCTATGGGGAAATTGCAGGTGATTGGTACTCGGTTCAAAAAACTGATGCAGACATGATGGGCCAAATGGCCCCCTCCTGTGACATAACATGTACATGATTCTGCAAACCGAATGCACGAGCTTTCCAAGGTATGGTGTCTTCTAAGCAAAATACAAAATCCTGATCCTTCTAAATTGAATGCAAACCAATGCTTCTTGATGCTTTTTCTTTGTTTGTAAAACTCTGTAAAAGCAAACAAATTCCTTTTACCTCCCCAGGCCTCCTCCCTCGTATTGGTTTTAAAAAAAAAAGCCAAGGTTCTAATAGTGCTAAATTGATTATTAAACCTCCTCTTCATATGGACTAAAGTCTACTTGCAACTAGTTCAGAGTCCAAACTCAAATAAATGATGTTAAAATAAGTATAAATTATGCACTTTGCACCACTGTCTTTCCCCAGTGCTGCAGATGCTGTCTGTTAATTGACAATGCCACCCCTCCTTTTCTTTTCCTTGGCTATCTTTTCTAGTCATAGTCAGACAGTGCAGAAAAGGCCCTTTACCCTCTCGAGTTCACAGCGACACAAGTATGACTAAAGGCATATTAATCCCAATTTTACTGTGCCTTGTCCCATATCATTGAATATTATGATATTTCAAGTGTTCATCCAAATATTTTTAAAAGTTGTAAGGTTTCCAGGCTCCACGACCAGGAGGTGCTTTCCAGAGTCTCGCCACCTTCTGAGTGGAAAAAGTATACTCTCAATCACCTGTGAATCTCCTGCCCCTTACCTTAAAACTATGCCCCTTGTGATTGATCCCTCAACCGAGGGAACAGCTGCTCCCTATTCACCCTGTTCATACCCCTCATAATCTTATACACCTCAATCATTCCCCCCCGCCCCATCTTTGCTGCTGTAAAGAAAACCATCCAAGCCTATATAGTTACTCCTTATAGCACAATTTCTCCATCTCTGGCAACATCCCAGTGGAAAATAAACAAATTGCTGGAAAAGCTAAGGTCTGGCAGCATCTGTGGAGAGAAATCAGTTAACATTTTGGGTTCCGTGTCCCTTCCTCAGAACTGATAGTAGCTAGGAAAATGTTGCTTTTTTTATACCAAAATCCTGTGGACCACCTCTGTACCCCCTTCTAGTGCTGTCACAGCCTTCTTTTAGTCAGGTGACCATGAACTGCACACGGTATCCCAGCTGTGGCCTAACCAGTGCTCTGTACAACTTTTTGCAAACAAAAGAAATATGTTGAAGCCTTGCAGTTTTTGTAAATGATCCAGGAGCTTGTGACCTTACTCTCCCCATTGCATTTGAATTGTTGGCATGAACAAAACAATAGGCTTGCCAACCAATCAGCACCCTTTTCTTCATTAGCAAAAGTTGTGATAATTTGAAAATTGGGACTCTTTAATTCAGAACTGATGAGTGCAAGATCAAAGACTTTGAGCAGCCACCTCTCTTCAGATAAGAATTTACTGTGAGGAAAATTGAACATCTCTCCTCCTGGATCTGAGATTTTTAAAATACCCTGTTTATTCAGGTGACCACTCAGGACTGAGCGTTCTTCATATAGTCAGACAATTGCTGATCTGTGCCATCTGACTGCATAATATTTTGTCTAGTAAATCTTTTGATGTCAAAATTTGAAAATACTAGTAGTTAGCTGGAGAAGAGGATGACTGAATATAGAGAAGGAGATAGTGTTCAGGTTCCTTTTTTAGGTCGACTAATAATCTGTATCTGTTGAATATTCTCTAATCACCCTGGTCAGAGATGTTGTTACATATATCTAGAACAGGCGGGACTTGATCCCAGGCTGCCTTAGAGGCCGGCACACTACCACTGCATCACGAGTCCTCTGCTAACAGCTGGAAAAGTTAATTGTTAATTCCTGACACCTGTGAAATAGATATTCCAGTTCCTCATAAGAGAGATTCACAATTGAAGTACTGTGTAAACCATGCTTTTTATGGATTGTCTGATGTGTTAACTGTAGTATAAAATCCAGCATTAAACCACAATAAATGATTTAAATAGTGTAGGTGGAGTGGCATATACACCGTAATCATGAACGTAGACAAATTGAGTTGGCTTCTATACTGTGAAACCTGTTTTCAACGGCACCAAATTAATCATCAGATAACTTTAGGTAATTTCATCCATTTTAACACCATGTGCTGCTGTTTCATTACAGGTGGTATTGACCAATCGGTGTTGAAGGAGCTGCCCCCTGATCTCCTTGCTGAGATAGAATCTACAATGCCACTTTGTGAACGTGTCAAAATGAACAAACGGAAGCGCAGTACAGTGAAGGAAAAGCCAAACTATGCAGAAATCAGCTCAGATGAGGGTGATAATGACAGTGACTTTGAATGTGAGTATCCTTATTGTTTGAGTAAGCTGGGAACATCAGATTGCAATGAAGATTAATAAAAAGGTATTCTGAGACTAGAAGTTGGGGCTTGAGGGAAGTGTAAGGAATGGAAAAACATTTGGTTACAAAAAAGGCTTTCGGAATAATTTTGAGAAAATCATCCCATTGTAACATTTGGTTATTCAAGATAAGAGCAGGTAGATATTATAGAAACATAGAAAATAGGTGCAAGAGCAGCTCATTCGGCCCTTTGAGCCTGTGCCACCATTGCATGATCAGCCGTGATCATATTGAGTTTCAGTATCCCGCTCCTGCTTTTGCTCCATACACCTTGATCCCTTTAGCCTTTAGTGGCATTATCATTGGACTAGTAATCCAGTGACCCAGATAATGCATTGTGGGCCTTAGTTCCAAATCCAAAAAAAAATTCTGAAATTACAAGTCTGATGGACAATTATAGTAAAAATCCATCTGGTAGTTTGTTCCTCTAAGAAAGGAAATCTGTGATCCTTGCCTGGTTTTCCCTACATGTGCCTCCAGACCCAGTGTTACTTGATTGATGATTTAAGGTGTGGATTGACAGATGGAATTGTGATAAAATTGCATAACAGAAATGTGATTGAGGGATGGGCAGGATTAGCAACTCAACCTTCTGGGGTATAGGATCTCAAGCAAAACAAGGAAGGGTGTAAAAGCGTAGGTGTGTTGCATAATTAATTAAGGGGACAGTTACTGCAGTAAAGGAGGACTGTATGTCAAATGAGGCTTTGTGGGTAGAGCTTAGGAATTAAAAAAGGCACAATCATGCTCTTAGGCCTGTATTAGAAGCCTGCAAACATTTGGCGAGCAATTGAGCAGATATGTGGTTAATTCACTGAGGTGTGTAAAATTAACAATAAGGCAATTATATTCGGGAACATCAACTTTCTGAACATTAATTGGGATAATCATGGTATAAAGGGCTTCAATGTGGCAGATTTCTTGAAATGTGTTAAGGAAAGCTTTTTATATCAACATATAGATGAGTCTACAAGGCACAGTGTAGTGTTGGACCTAATTCTGGGAAATGAAGCCAGACAGGTTTTTGAGGTGGCAGTGGGGGAGCATTTTAGCAATAGTGACCACAGTACCATCCTACTTAAGTTTGTCATGGAAAAGGAAAAAGATGGTCACAAAAAAGTGTTTTGGATTGGGGCAAGGCTGATTTTATTAAAATAAGACTGGTCTGGCCAAAATAATCTAGGAACAGCTATTTGAGGGTAAATCTGTAGCAGAACAAGAGGAGACATTGAGTGGGGTGGTGTGGTGAGTTGGTAGAAAGGGGTGTGTGGACCTGACATGAACACCTTTAGGGTGTTTTAGCAAGCCCAAAAAGCCCCTGGATGTCTTTGAACATTCAGGACTGCGTAAGAAGGAAAACGTAGACATATAACAGGTACAAAGGTAGCAAACAATATCGTCCCTAGAGGAGTTTAGGAAGTGTAGGGGGATCTTAAAGCAAGTAGGAAAGCAAAGAGGAAGCGTGAAAAGTGTTTTAAATGAGCACTTCACCTCTGTCTTTACTCAGGAAAAGGAGGATGTAGATACAGAATTTATGAAGAGAGACTGAGAGGTTCTTGAGCAGATTGATACAGGGAGTGAGGAAGCATTGGAGGTTTTGGTGAGTTTTAAAGTGGATATATTTTCAGGTCTAGATGAGTTGTCACCCACAACAGTTTGGTATACAAGGGAAGAAATCACTGGGGCCCTGGCCCAAATTTTTCAGGTCTTTCTGGTCGCGGGAGGTGTCAGGACAGCTAATATGGTTCCATATTTTAAGAAGGATGAATAGAATACAATCAAAAAACCCTGACAGCATGGAAGCAGGCCATTTGGCACATCAAGTCACACCGGCCCTCTGAGGAGCATCCCACAGGTCACAGCTGGAGTATATTGTGCGCATTTCTGGTCACCACACTTTAGGAAGGATGTCATTGTACTGGAAGGATTGCGGAGGAGATTTACCGAGATGTTGCCCAAGATGGAGCATCTTATTATAAAAAGAGGTTGGATGTGCTTGGATTGTTGTCTTTGGTGCATAGAAGGTTGAGGAGGGACCTAGCAGAGATGTATAAGATTGAGTATAGAAAGCAGCTGTCCCCTTCATTGAAGGGTTACTATAAGGGGGGGTGGGGAATGTTTTAGGATGAAAGACGGGAGGTTTAGAGGGGACTTGAAAATTTTTTTCAATGAGGAGGAGGTGGTGAGAGTCTGGAATGCACTGCCTGGGAGGATAGTTGGGGTGGGAAACATCGCAAATTTAAAAAAAAAAAAAAAAAAGTCCCTGGGTGAGCACTTGAAATGTCATAACATTCAAGGCTCTGGGCCAAATGCTGGAAAGTGGGAAATAGGCATGGGCCTGATGGGCCAAAAGACGTGTTCTGGACTGTATGATTCTGTGGTGACTTGTGTGCCAAATGACAAAGCACCATACAGTAGACAACTAAGTGATTCCAAAGCCAGTGCATCAGATCTAATCTCTGCCATCCTTGCATCCTGTTGTGAATAGTGGTGGACAACTTTCTGGAACCTACCCCAGAACAATATTGTGGGTTTCCGAATATCAAATGGACTACAACTGTCCAAGAAGTCCCCTCTTTGCCACAGAGGCACTTAAAGATGGGTGAAAAATGCTGCCCTAACCAGCAAAACCTGCATCCCCTGAATGAATAAAGAATATCATCATCTTAATAAAAAGCAAAATGATTTGCCTTACATGATTATATAGGTGAAGATTTTTTTTTAAAGAGGGTGGCAACAATCCTATAAATAGGATGTTCAACTGCAACTTGCATAAGAAACTTCTACAATAAAATGCAAGGTAATTGCATGAAAAGGTGTAACACAGCTTGGGTAATATTGCGTCATTGCAAACAAATTTATCGTTTGAAAGATACGTACCTATCATGGATGGATTTGGATGAGATGCCATATAACTGAAATCATATTGAGTTTAACTAAAGTGTTAAGAATATTGTTTAAGACTTATGATTTGTGGTTTCCAAAAACAGGCACTGCAAAAGAATTCATACAAAATGATTAAGTGCTAATATAAAATCTCTATTTCCAGCTTCCAGGAAGAGGCACAAGAAGGATAGAGGAATGGATAAAGCCTGGGAATGTGAAGAACGTGACCGTCGGATTCTAAATGAAATCCGAAGAAGCAGCTATTCTATTGAAGGCAGACGTAGCTCAGGAAGCAGATATCGGGAGTGCAGCCCTGGATCAGAGGAGGATTCCCCCCCTCCCAGTCTTATTGATAGTAAGAATGCATTTCTTGACAATCAAATAAATCAATTTATGGAACTGGGCAGACTTTAACTTTATGTTGTAATTCATTTATCTCCAAAAGTACACTTGCACTGGATATTTGAGTTGTGGCTTTGCAGGCTCTTTACTGAATAGAACATGAGCCCACATTGTGGAGTTTATCATCTGAAATGAATGTGGTGATTTAAAACTGTAAAACATTTAGGGCAAGTTACTGCCAAAGGGAATATTTGGACCAACTTTCTTTCAAAACGTCTAACTAATTGTCTACCATCTGTTGAAATTTCAAATACATGCTGTTGTGGGGCAAGGAATGAGGAGGCTCATCTGTTGGGGCAAATTTTACTAGAATCAGCTGTGACTTGATCCTAGCAAATCAAACAACTGAAACAATAGGTAGAAAAAGTTTGGACAAGTGATGGTGCTGGAGCAGGCGAGAACATTAAGCATGAGAAAACAAATCAATATATTGTGATTTCAGTGAATGAAGACAAATTAGTGAAAAATAAGTGTAAAATTTAAAGCAATTTCATCTCAATGCAAAATTATTTGAAATAAGATAAACAAATGCATAAATAGAAACTGATGGAGTTGTGAATGTAGATCCTTTATTCAAAAAGGGAGGTGGGGTAGGAAAATATAGGCCAATTAGCTTAACATCTGGCACAGGGAAGTTGTTAGAATGTTATAGAATCGTATAGTGTAGAAGAGGGATTTTGTCCCATCAAGCCTGTGTTGCCAACAATTTACAATTACTTATAGTAAATTGCACTTTGCAGCATGAGGCCCAAAGCCTTGAATTTTATGACAGTTCAAGTGTTCATCCGAGCACTTTTTTTATAGGTTGTGCTTTCCTACCTCAACTACCTCCCAGGCACTGCATTCCAGACCCCCCAGTAAAACACCTGACTTTTACTTTCAAATCATGCTCCCATGTTATTGACCCTTCAACTAATGGGAGCAGCTGCTTCCTATTTATTTTGTTCATGCTCCTCATAATCATCTACACTTCTATCAAGCCACCACACCCAACCTTCTCTGCTCCAATGTTATTAAAGGCATTTTATAAGGTGCTACATTTGCAGGTTATTGTGGAAAATTCCAGCTTAGCTTCTCGAGCCTACCACCTTGGAGCTTGACAAACTGCCAGTAAGCATTTGGTTGGAGTCATGAGTTAACTGGGAAGAGGACACCAATAATCGTGATCCACTGTTGCACAAGTCGTCACACTATGTATAAATGTATAGTATCTGACTGAGGCCACCAAAATGGCCAATTTGGCGACTTGACTGCTACTAAGGACAAAAGCAATTCACACACGAAAATAACCGTTTAAGACATCATACCACTTTAGAGCAGTGAAAGATTTTCTAATCTGTGCAATTTACATTATACCCCTTCAAAACCCAAACTATATACACACACACAACACAATTGACAGACAAAAGGTTTAACATGCATGCTATGGCTGGAAAAAGAATTGACAGGGTAACCAAATTTCTGAGGATCAGAAGTCCAGATCATGAGGTGAAAAGTTATTTTCTCTTGGTCCTTTTGATTTTAGCAGTGATGCCTCACTGTTGTCTGGAGGATAAAGGCATTCATTCTTTGATCAAGTGAACTTGGGTCTTTCTCGTGCACAAATTCTTTCTTTTAAGGTTTCTTATTTTTTCTGCCTTTTCCCACCCAAAATGGATGTCTGTTTTTCCTCTGTTGCTCTGGGCACTTGCAACTTTTTAATACTCTGTAGCTTAATCAGTGCTGAATGTCTTTAACTTAAAGATCTTGCTGCCACTCAACTTGATTCTCCCTCTTACTGCTACAAAAAGCAACATTCTATCACACAGCTAATCAATAAATGCAGCATTTGATTTTCAAGTTATGGTATGCTTCTGGTGTTCCAATTCTAGCAGTCCAACTGTATTACAGTTTATTGTTCCATATATGAAAAATATATGGTTTCTTACAACAGCAAGCTATAATGAATGGTCTACCACAAGAATCAGTGCTGGAGTCTCCACATTTTAGAAATTGTATGAATGGTTTAAGTAAAGGAAACTCCAGTATGGTTGCTAAATTTGCTGACACAAGGATATGTAAGCAAGAACTGAAAAGGTACAGACCTGCCATCAATTCTGTTAGGGGGTGTTGTGGACAGTGCTCTTGCCTGTATAATGTGCTGACTTTGGTTTTGGCAAAGGTGGTGTCAGAATGCTAGCTCCTCATCTCGGTCCTAAGTGGCCTACCCTCCCCATCCTTAGACTGTGACCCCTGGTTCTGGACTCCCTAATCATTGAAAACATCTTTTCTGCATCTACTCCGTCCATCCTGTTAGAATTTTATAGATTACTAAGATTTCCCCTCATTCTTCTAAGCTAATATAGTCCTAGCCAATCTGCCTCTTCATGTATGTCAGTCCTGACATCCCAGGAGTCGGTCTGGTAATAAACTGGCACGATAAGACTACTTCAGAACTGAAGAAAGCTGGAAATGTTTGTTTGATGCAATTTGAAGAGGTTGGAGTGAAGCAAGTGGAAGAAAAGTAAGGGTCAGGAAAAGACCTACTGTTAACAACAACTCTGGTGTAGACATGATGGACTGAATGGCCGCCTCCTGTGCTTCTGTGATCTGTTTCTCTTTACAAGCACTGCCATAACCTTTTAACTTGTTCTGTGACATCTTTCCCTGACCTTTTTATGTTGGCCTTCATTGCGAGAGGTTTAGAGTACAGGAGCAGGGATGTGTTGTTGCAGTTGTGCAGGGCCTTGGTGAGACCACACCTAGAATATTGTGTGCAGTTTTGACCTCCTTTTCTGAGGAAGGATGCTTTTGCTCTCGAAAGTACAGCCAAGGTTTACCAGGCTGATTCCGATGATGGCAGGCCTGACGTATGAGGAGAGATGGACTAGGTTAGGATTGTTATTGCTAAAGTCACATGGATGAGAGGGGATCTCATAGAAACTTACAAAATTCTAACAGGACTGAACATGGTACCTGCAGGGAGGATGTTCACGATGGTGGATGTGCCTAGAACCAGGGGTCACAATATGAAGTTTCGGGGTAGACAATTTTAGGATGGAGATGAAGAGACATTTCTTCACCCAAAGAGTGGTGAGCCTGTGAAATTCATTACCACAGGAAGTAGTTGATGCCAAAACATTGAATGTATTCAAGAGGCAACTAGTCCACTTAGGGAAAATGGAATTGAAGGTTATGTGGAGAAAACAGAATTAGGCAATTGAGTTGGAAGATCAGCCATGATTATGAAGAATGGTGGAGCAGGCTTAAAGGGCTGAATGGCGTCTTCCTGCTCCTATCTTCTATGTTTCTATGTCATTATGTAAAAGACCCCGTTATCCCCACTCGCTGCATTCTGCTACTCAATCCTCCTATCTGTGCCAGTACCTAACACCGTGGGCTCTTAATTAGCAGCCCCCTATGCAGTACCTTGTCAAAGGCTTTCTGGAAATCCAAATGGATTACATCTTGCTGAAGCCATAATGCCTCCACCCTATTTTACTGTGCACTTTGAAGTGCACTGCAATCTCCCCCTCAACTGTGGACTCCAAAGACGGTGGTCAGGCTAACCAGCCTATAGTTTATCTGTCTTCTGCCTCACTCCCTTTTTAAACAGCAGTGTTACGTTACCTATTTTTCAGTCTTCTGGGACCCTCCCTGCCACCAGTGATTCTGGAAGGATCACCACCAATGCCTCTACAATGTCCTCTGCTATCTCCTTCAGAACTCTGGGGTGTAGTTCATCTAGTCTGGGTGATTTATCCACCTTCAGACCTTTCTTCTTTCCTAGCACCACCACCTTGAGTAATGGCCACTACACACAGCTCTGCCTCCTGACTCTCAAAGTTCAGGTATGCTGCTGGTGTCTTCTACAATGAAAACTACCTGTTCAGTTCCTCTGCAATTTTCTTGTGCCCCATTGCTACTCATCCAGCCTCAGTTTCCAGTGGTTCAGTGTGCACTCTTGCCTCTCTCTTACCTTTTGTATGTCTTAAAAAAAAAAAAAAGTCTTGCAGTAATAAAACATAGAACAGTACAGCACAGGCCCACGATGTTGTGCTGACCTATTATCCTACGAAGATCAATCTACCCTGCATACCCTACATTTTACAATCCTCCATGTGCCTATCGCTTAAAAGTCTCTAAAGTATCTGACTCCACTACCACAGCCGGCAGCGCATTCCACAAGCCCATCACTATCTGTGCAAAGAACCTACCTCTGACATCTCCCGTATACCTTCCTCCAATCACCTTAAAATTATGCCCCCTCGTAATAGTCATTTCCGCCCTGGGAAAAAGTCTCTGACTATCCACTCTATCTATGCCTCTTGTACACCTTGTACACCTTTATCAAGTCACCTCTCATCCTTCTCGCTCCAATGAAAAAAGCCCTGGCTCTGTCAACATTTCCTCATAAGACTTGCCCTCCAGTCCAGGCAGCATCCTGGTAAATCTCCTCCGCACCCTCTCTAAAGCTTCCACGTCTTTTCTATAATGATGTGACCAGAACTGAACACAATATTCCAAGTGTGGTCTGAACAGAGTTTTATAGAGCTGCAGCATAACCTCTCGCTCTTAAATTCAATTCCCCTGCCAATGAAAGCCAACACACCATATGCCTTCTTTACAACCCTATCAACTTGGTTAGCAACTTTGAGGAATCTGTGGACGTGGACCTCAAGATCCCTCTGTTACTGCACACTGCCAAGAATCCTGCCATTAACCCTGTATTCTGCATTCAAATTCAACCTTCCAAAATGAATCTCTTCACACTTTTTTTCTAGGTTGAATTCCATCTGCCACTTCTTTGCCCAACTCTGCGTCTGTCAATGCTGCAACCTACAATAGCCCTCCACGCTGTCCCCACCTCCTCCAACCTTTGTGTCATTGGCAAACTTACTAACCCACCCTTCCACTTCCTCATCCAAGTCATTTATAAAGATCACAGAGCAGAGGTCCCAGAACAGATTCCTGTCGAACACCACTGGTGACCGAGCTCCAGGCTGAGTACTTTCCATCTACTACCACCCTCTGTCTTCTATTGGACAGCCAGTTTTATATTACTATATAATCTTTTATATTACTAATCAGCTTGTCTTCATATTTCATTATTCCACCCCCCCCACCCTTTTTTTAAAAAATATAGTTACCGTCTGCTGGTTTTTAATGGCTTCCCAATCCTTTGGTTTCACATTAATCTTCACCACATTTTGTGCTGTTTCTTTTGCTTTTATGTTGTTTCCAGTGTCCCTTGTCAGCTACAGTTGCCTTGTACTCCCCTTAGTTTGATTCTTCTGGTTCTGGGGCACCCCTCCATTAACTAAGATAAAATGTTGTTTCTGCATCTACCTTGTCTAGCTGTCAGAATTTTGTAAGCTTCCTTGAGATCAACTCTAATTATTCTAAACTCAGGACAATGCAGAATCATTAGTTTGGTGACCTTCTGCATTCCTTCTATGGCAAATTTATCCATGCTTAAAGGAATTTCTGTATGTTCATCTGATACTGAAAATAACCACAGCTTAGTAATTTCTTATGGATTCATCTTTTAAACAAACGTTCAGTATCTTTTCAAAGAGATTGAGGAACTGTGTGCAGAGAAAGCAAATATTGATTCCATGTCTCGGGATGGTTTTGTCGCATCTCTGGTTGATATCATTATTCAATAGGTGGCGTGCCAAATATATTTTTCAGGCTGCCGGGAAGGAGCAGTTAAAAGGAACCATTTAGGTAACTAAAGCTAGGCTGGGCATGATGAACCAAATTATAACTTTGTGCTATATAATTTTAAGAAAAATGTCGTTTCGACCATTGGGATGCCAGTGAACCTGAGAAGGCTTGAACTTGTACCATGTGGGTCACAACAGTGGCAGGCACAAGTTTCAAAGTATTTAAGCCTTGAGTATCTTCCTCTTTTCAAAGGTGTTTATAAATATTAAATTTGGATGTTTCAAAAGCAGGATGACCTAGTAGCATATAAGTATGGGTAAAGTGCTATGAATAATGCCTGATTTTAAGAGGTCTGTTTATACAGTATACCTTCTGACTAAGAATGGTTTATATTTTTGTGCTGTGATATTTGTGTGCTTTGCTTGCTATGTACACTGTTTCTGACCATTTCATGTTCTGCTTGTACCTACAATCCTGCGTTTTCATTTGATTTTTTTTTTGCCATTTGTTATAGCAATCTTGACTGTCACTGACTAAATCAAAATGTATTAATTTTACAAAGTATGAGACTTCATTCAATTCTTATTTACAGTTGCCAAAAAGATGAGAAAAAGAGAAAAACAAAAGAAGAGGAAAGCATATGAGCCTAAACTTACTCCTGAAGGTAAGTCCAAAGTCTCAAGCATGCCAGACATGGTGTTTAACTACTTTGGGCTTTTAAAATGCTGTAACAATGTTGTTTGAGAGGGGGACAAGACTTGCAACTTAACACTCTGGGATTTAAATTTTCAGGCCAGATAGGTTTCCATGTTGCATGACTCTGAAGAGGGATGCAAGAGGTGGGAGAGTCACATTACCGATGAGGGAGAATATCACAGCTGCAGTGAGGGCTCATTTAGAGAGCCCATGTGGGTAGAGTTCAGGAATAGGACAGGTGCAATCACTCTGGGGTTGTATTCCATATATAAGGAACAAATCGGGTAGCTAGGGAGAGGGTAGGTAGTAAGGGAGGCAATGACCTAGTGGTAGTTTTCTTTAGACTGTTAATCCAGAGACCAAGATAACATTCTGGGTTCGAATCCCACCACGGCAGATGGTGGAATAAAAAAAAATCTGGAATTAAGAATCTAATGATGGCCATGAATCCGTTGCCAATTGTCAGAAAAACCCATCTGGTTCACTAATGTCCTTTAGGGAGGGAAACTGCCATCCTTGCCTGGTCTGGCCTGGCCTACATGTGACTGCAGACCCACAGCAATGTGGTTGACTCTGAACTGCAATTAGGGATGGGCAATAAATGCTATCTAAAAGTGATGCCCTCATCCCATGAATGAATTTTTTAAAAAAAATCTCAGACAAAGGAGGGAATTTACGCATGGAGCCAGCAGAAGTGGATGAAATCCTTAATGAATACGTTGCATTGATATTCCCAGAGGAGGAGGACATGTGAATGGGGAGTCTTGGGAGGGATCAGTTGATATTCTAGAGCACGTCTACATATAAAAGGGTGTTTTGAAAAGCATTCAGGTAGACAAGTCCCCAGGACCTGGTGGGACCGATCCGAGAATGCTGCGGGAGGCAGGTGAGAAAGTTGCTGAGGTGGAGATGGTTGATTTGTGTCAAGCTCCTGCAAGTGATAATAGCCAACAATCTGCCCTAGTCCACTCATGTTGATATGATGGTCAAGAAAGCACAACAGCGTCTCTACTTCCTCAGGAGGTTAAGGAAATTCGGCACGTCCATAAGGACACTTACAAATTTTATAGACACATCACAGAAAATGTTCTATCTGGATGCATCATGGCGTGGTTTGGCGCCTGCTACTTCCAAGACCGCAAGAAAGTAGAGTGTCATGGACATAACCCAGTCCATCTAACAAACCAGCCTTTCATCTATTGACTCCATCTATACTTCCCGCTGCCTCAGGGAGACAACCAACATAATTAAAGATCCCTTCCACCTTCTTCAGTCAGGCAGAAGATACGAAAATTTGTATCCATGAATGAAGAGATTCACGAACAGCTTTAATCCCCGTTTTTGGCTTTCTGAATTCTGTTCTATTACCCTTATGTATTTTTTATGGTATGACCTGCCTGTACTTTTTGCTGTACTTAGGTACATGTGACAATAATAAAATGTGATGATGCCCATTAAGCAGGCTGCATTGTCCTGGATGGTGTCAAGTTTCTTGAGTGGTGTTGGAGCTGCACTCATTAAGGCTAGTGAGGCGTATTCAATCACACTTCTCACCTGGGCTTTGTAAATGGTGCACTGGCTTTGGTGTGTCAGGAGCAAGTTACTTGCTGAAGTATTCCAATCCTAAGCAAAACCCTAACTGCTCTTGTAGCCACAGTATTTGTTTGGCTGTTCAGTTTATGGTCAATGGCAAACTCCTTGGATGTTAATGGAGTTTGTCATTGATTCCAAACTAAATTGGACAGCCCTGTAAATAGCCTGTCACACCCTCATTTTGTTATGGGATGGCTAACATATTTTGTTGTTCCTTGACCAAGTGGCTCTGCACAGCCTTGTTGAATTTCTGTGTAACGTAGGTACAGTCTCAGCAGGGCTCAAGAAACATGGGCATTACAGATCAACTCCCTCAAGCTCCCAAATTTTGGGGAAAGGCCAAAAATGGGGCTAGCAATTGGAGAAAAGTCATCCCTGTTCGTGAAAGAGGCAGAACAAGGATGCATGAGGCCCAGCTCCCCACGCATGCTTGACCATGGTTGCATTGGCAACTATTACAATCCTTTGTAGTCTGAAACGGTGGTGGAGGTAGAAACACTAATCACACTTGACCTGCAGTAACTAACAGGTGGATAATCATGAGCTGGAAGATGTGATTAGGCTGAAATGGATTTTGTTGCATGGGCATGATGAGATGAGTGGCGGCTTTAAGTTGCATTTGATACTGGAGGAAGCAGTGAGCGAATTTGGAGGAAGCGCCAGGTAGTAAGGTGCAGAACATATTCAGTGGGGGATTTCAATACCCATCAAGTATGGCTTGGCAGCACTATTACTACTGAACTATCAAGTCCTAAAAGACGTTGCTGCTAGATTGTGCCTGTGGCAGCTGGTGAAGGAACTGATGAGGGAAAAATATACTTGACCTCCTCCTCTCCAATCTGTCTGCCACAGTCACAGTAAGAGTGACCACTGCACGGTGCTTGTGGAAAAGTCTTTTCAGTGGGTCTATTGTACTATGACACTATTACTGTGCTAAATGGGGTTTCGATCAGATCGAGCCTTCACTGGCCACAGGTGAAGTGCCAGATGACTGGAACATAGCTAATGTGGTTCCTTTGTTCAAGAAGAGAATGCAATGTGGGAAAGTGAGAGGTCATGCACTTTGGTAGGAAGAACAGGAGCATAGACAGTTTTCTAAATGGTGGGGGGGAATACTTGAAAATCTGAGGTGCAAATGGACTTGGGAGTTCTCGTCCAAGACTCTCTGAAGGTTAACTGGCACGTTAATTCGGTCGCTATGAAGGCAGATACAATGTTGGCACTTATTTCGAGAGGACTAAAATATATAAGCAGGGCTGTACTTCAGAGCCTTTATAAGACTCTGGTCAGACTGCGTTTAGAATATTGTGAGCAATTTTGGGCCCCATATCTCAGGAAGGATGTACTGGCCCTGGAGTTGGTCCAGAAGAGGTTCACAAGAATGATCCCAGGAATGAAAAGCTTAACATATGAGGAGCATTTGAGGACTTGTGGGTCTATACCTTTTAGACCTTTTAGAAGCAAGATGAGGAGTCTTCACTCAGGGAGTGGTGAATCTTTGGAATTCTTTGTCACAGAAGGCAGTGAAGGCCAGGTCGTTGAGTATATTTAAGACGGCGGTAGATAGGTTCTTGATTGTTAAGGGGACTGAAAGTTACTGGGAGAAGGGGGTTGAGAAACTGATCAGCCATGATTGAATGGCAGAGCAGAGGCGATAGGCCAAATGGCCTAATTTCTGCTCCTATGTTTTATGGTCTTAAGGCCAGAAGTGTTAGGTCAGGTGATTATACACTTGTCTGATGGATGTCAGTGGTAGGGAAATTATTGGAAAAAATTGAAGGACAGAATTAATCAACACTTGATAAGGCAGAGATTGATCAGGGATAGTCAGCATAGATTTTTGGAGGGAGATCCTGTCTAACTAATTTAAGAATTTTTTGAAACGGTGACTGTAGTGTAGTGCAGTTGATGTGGATTCCATGGACCTCAATAAGACCTTTGATAAAGTCCTACATGAAATGTTGGTCCAAAACAATAAGATCCCATGGGATTCAAGGCAAGTTGGATGGGATGTTGCTCTTTTTAAGTCAGGAGTGTGATGGACTACTCCTGTCTAGTTTGGATGAATGCAGCTCCAACAACACTCGAACCTTGATACCATCCAGCACAAAGCAGCCTGCTTGATTGGCACCACATCCACAAATATTCACTCCCTTTACCACTGGCATTCAGTGGCAACAGCATGCATCATGTAGAAGTTGCACTGCGGAAATTCACCAAGGCTCCTTAGACAGCACCTTGTAAACCCATGATCACTTCCTTCTCGAAGGACAAGGGCAGCAAATTTATGAGAACACCACGAACCTTCTCTTCCCTTCCAAGACACTCACCCTCCTGACCGGAAAATATTTTGCTGTTACGTCCTTGTCTCTGGAAGTCCCTCCCTGATGGTATTGAGTCCACCTCCATCAAGTGTATTGTAGCACTTCAAAAAAGAAGGCAGCTCCTTTTGCAGAGCATCTTGGAATGAGCAATAAATACTGGCCCTGCCAATGATGTCTGCATCCCATAAATTGTCGTTACTTGTTCATGGGATGTGGTCATTCCTGGCTAGGGCTGCATTAATGCCGATCCTTAATTGTCCAGAGATCATTTAAGAATTAACAACATTGCTGTGAGTTTAGTCACGTGTAAGGTAGGGATGGCAGATCCTTTTACATAAAGGACATTAATGAACCGGATACATTTTTATGACCATCTACAATGATTACATTTCACCATTCCAGATTATATAAATTCAAATTTAACCATCTACCAAGGTGTGATTTGAATCCATGCCCCTGGAAATTTATCCTGCGTTCTAGATTGCTAGTCCAGTGACATTACTGCTGTGCCACTACCTCCCTGAATTTTTTTTAAAAAAAGAGCCCTGGTTCATTGAATACTACAGGAAGATTTGCTGAAAGGAGCTCTGGGGATACCTGTAAATGTGTCAACTTGGTGAAGCTACAACAAGGGACTATTTGCGTGCCAGACAGCATGTGCAGTAACTAATGGAGCTAAGCAATTCCACAGACGATGGATCAGCTGTAAACTCTGCACCCCTTCCACATCCAGTTGTGAATAGTGGTGGACAGTTTAAAAAAGAACTGGAGGGTGAGGCTCCACAAATCGTTTTGGTGCCAGCAATGTTATGACCCCTTGATATCAAGAGATGGCTTCAGGTATTGGATACTGGAAAGCTTGTGAGCCCTGACAACATTCCAGTTTGAGTTCCACTAGGGCCACTAAGCTCCTAAAGTCTTTATAGCCTTGATTGAAACATGGACAAAAGAGCTGAACTCATGAAGTGAGAGTGACCGCCTTTGACATCAATGCTGTATTTGACTAAGTGTGGCAGCAAATCATACCTGGCCAAAATGAAGATCATTGTGA